ATATATATATATATATATATATATCAAGTAATATAAATGGCAAAAAATGTTAAACATTTGGTATAATATTAAATGAGGTTTAAGTACTGGTAAATGTTAAAAAAAATGGCATTTTCTAAGACATAAAAGACAATCTGCATAGCTGCATAGTTACTGTGCAAAGACTTCTTGAGGGACTGTGAGATGCTATATGTCAAACTGCCTAGTGTAAAGCTAGTACTGTGTATACTTGACGTGTATTTCCCACTTTCTCATCTGCCATGACAGGGAAGTTTTGCTGGTTTACTGAAAGCCTGCTTACTGTGCTTTGACCGAAAACACTGCCCCCAAAGGAAGAAGATGCCTGTCATAGTAAGGCAACCAGGAATAGGAGAAAAGATTCATTCCACTTTTTTATTTTAAACTATGTTCTCTCTATTCAAAGATGTTAAGTTCCCAGAGTTGTTTCAAACTACAACTGAAGTCTGTTCTGGTGATATTAGAAAAACTAAGGATACACCTCATACCTAGCAATTAACTGAAATTTCTCTCTCTAGCTTAATTATCAGACATTAAAATTCCTGATGCTTAGGCTCTGTGGCCCTCAATTCCAAAGATATCACATTTGCAATATAGAACAAGCCTCACATAATCTGAAAGCACATTATCCCTTTTTAGATTTCTTTTCTCTCTAATAATTCACTGAGCTGTGACACTTTTGGTTAAAATGTACGGCTGGAGGGAAACATCATCTTTTATAGATCAGTGCTCCCCACTTTTTCCAAAAACTGTAATATGTTCCCAACTCTAACCTGGATGACAGATTTTGGTAGGTAATAATGACTAAAATTAAATTATATGTCTTGACTTGTTTTTCTTCTTTAAGAAAACTAATTGATAGGGCTGGGGATTTAGCTCAGTGGTTCTGCTGCCTGCCTCACAAGCACAAGGTCCCAAGTTTGATTCCTGGTACCAAAAAAATAAAAATAAAAATAAATAAAGAAAACTAATTGATAAGCCTTCACTGTATGTGATGGTTAATATCATGTGTCAATCTGGTTAGTCTATGGTACCCAGCTATTCATCATCCAAGTACCCAGTACTTGGGAGGCTTAGGCAGAAAGACTACAAGTTCAAGTACTGTCTGGGCAACAATTATCTCAAAATAAAAAATAAAAAGTTGGGGATGGAGCTCAGTGTGAAGGCCCTAGGTTCATTGACCAGCACTACCAAAGAAACAAAAATAAAAGCCACTACTCTAGATGTTGCTGTAGATGAGATTAACATGTACAATCAGCTGTTTTAAGACAGTTACCCCTGATAATGTTAGCAGGCCTCATCCCATCAATTGAAGGCCATAAGAGAAAAAAACCTGAGGTGTCCTTGAGGAAATCTGTGCCAAGACTGTAACCCGGAAATCCTGTCAGCCTGTCCTACAATCTTCAGACTTGCCAGCCCCCACAATAACACAGGTGAACTCCTTAAAGTAAGTCAAATGAGCAGTGTGTGTGTGTGTGTGTGTGTGTGT